GTGTCTGGTATTGGAATTTGTCATTTCTAGTGTGAGACAGAAGATCACAGGGAAGCAGAACAGTAAGATCAGTTAGGACAGTGAATCTGAAGGGCAGTTTGGCAAAACTTAAGAAAATATACAGTGTGTTCAAAAATACCCTTTGAACCAACCATCCTACTTTTAGGAATGTATCCTGAGGACAAATATGTAAAGGCAAATATAGAAAGATAGACATAAGATGTTCCATAAAGCACAATTTTTGATAATAGTGAAAACCTGGGGGGAAATGTCCCTAGACAGAATAATCACAAAATGAATTATATTGCTATACACTTGAAAAAAATTGAAAAAAAACAAACCTCCTAAATTTAAAGACCCAATCCAAAAATGGGAATCTCAGACAAAGAAGTAGAACAGCAAATATACATGAAAAAATGTTCAACATCACTGTTCATTCAAGAGATGCAATTTAAAACAATGCTGAGATTTCACCTCACTCCAGAAAGAATGGCTGCTATCAAGAAAATCAATAACCAGTGCTGGCAGTGTTGTGTGGGGAAAAAGAAACCCATCTCCACTGTTGGTGGGAGTGTAGACTGATGCAACCACTGTGGAAATCAGTATGGAGATTCCTCAAAAAACTAGGATTAGAGAGGCACCATTTGACCAAGCTATTCCCCTGCTGGGTATCTTCCCAAAAGAATTAAATGCAGCATACCCAAGAAGAATCATTAATTAAAAGCTTCATACAGTGATATATAAACATCATACCATGTTTATAGTGGCACATTTTATAACAGCTAAATCATGGAAACAGCCCAAATGCCTATCAACTGGTGACTGGATAAAGAAGATGTGGGATTTATATATATATATATATATGATATGGAGTACTACTCAGCCATAAAGAACAATATATTACTAAAGGTGTAGGGAAAGTGGGAAGCCTATCAACTGGTGACTGGATAAAGAAGATGTGGGATTTATATATATATATATTATGATATGGAGTACTACTCAGCCATAAAGAACAATATATTACTAAAGGTGTAGGGAAAGTGGGAAGGGTAGGGGAAAGGTAATAAGGGCAAATAAAAAAAATGAGAAAATGAAAAAAATGGAAATAAAGTGTTTGTAAGTGGGAGGGGAGGAGGGGGCAAAGGGAGGGCACGGACAAGGGGAAAAAATGAGAACCAAGACCTGTCACGTAAAGGTGCAGGATCCCAATGATGAATGTAACTGTACTGTATGCCTAAAATGTACCAATAAAATACATATATATGACATGTACATAGGTAAATGGATATACATTGAGGAGATACTCTAAATCACCTTTGAGTATCACTTAATAAATAGGTCACACGTGTAAATACCAAATAGTTTCTCTAGTGTGAGAATGAAAAGTGTAAATAAGAACTGAAATGTATAATAGATAATGTGAAATAGGAGGAAAAGGTCCAAAGGGGAAGGGCCAAAGAAAGGGGGGGTAGGGAAAAGGAAAGAAGGAAAAGAAAAACATATGAGAAAAGAAGAACATCAACCTGGGGAAAACACTGTGGCCCTGGTCTAATCCCTTGCGATTCAGAGTCCAATCCTAAAGCATTAGCCTCACTTGGAAGCCGGCTACAGATGCCCTTCAGACCCCTACAGATTTAGTGAATCAAGATTCTACAGGTGGTTCACAGGTAGGTACACACCTACTCCGAGAACACGCCCTTAAAGTGCTTTCAAACATAATTATGTCACATTACTCTGTCCTTTCGTCTAAAATTCTTACTCTTGCCACACTTACTGCTAAGCAACACCCTCTTTGTTAGTTTTATTGAAGCATGCAACACTGTTGTCTGATTACATTTTGATGACTTTACGCATATGCCTACAAATAGATCTGAGGGACAAAATAAAGATCATGTTAATCTCTGTCCTTGGTGTCAAGTAAAGTTTTGCCCCAGTATTTAACAGCTGCTTATGCAAAAAGTCATTAGAAAATAAAATAAACCAACACTAGCGTAAATAATAAAGGAAAATTGACTCATGCTGTTCAACAGTCTGGCTTGATCCAGTGCTCAAACACAGTGAGGGGGCCTGTGACCCTGTCCCCACTCTACCTCTGTCCCTGTGCTGACGACCCCATCCTTGGCAGGCTCTTGCTGTGTGGCCTCGGGCTAGCTGCCAGTGTTTCCTCAGTTTTCTCCTTTCTCATCCCAGTATAATAGTTCAAGAGTTTTCTGGAAATTTCTGAGGCAGAAGCTTCTCTTCCTTTCCTTCTCTGCTTTTTTTTAAAAAGCAATGAGGTACAGCTTGAAGTAGATACAAACAGGGGAGAGGGTCCATCAGGAAGTCAGGAAACTGATGGAGCCATGGTAACACGGGTGTTTGGAGGTAACAGATGTCCCCCATGAAGCTGAAGTTCAGTCTTCTTTGTAGCTTGCCACTGCTTGGGACATTAGATTCTACAGCAATCATGGTACAGGTGATGGCGGAAAACTTTCTATTTTTAAAGGGTACACAGACTATTATGCGCCATCTCCATCATTTCAGTGATCAACTTTACCCTGGTTTACCTCCTCCCGGAATAATAAAGCAGTCACAGGCGTTCTCTGGGCCACTCCAAAAACCACTCCAGAGTGGTTGGCCACACATAATAGAGGGTGCACTTGAAAGGCAGCATCCAATGACCAGTTCTAGTTGAAGACTTTTGTGTTTTTCAAACGCTCAATAAGCAGAGGAAGTGACCACAATGTGTTTGAAACCTTATAGCATGTGTCTTAGGGAGAAAAAGTGCCTAAAACTAGATGGAAAGAACTTGTAATTTTTTAAATTAAAAACTGTAGACAGGAGAGGTAGCAGTCAAAGTAAAATAAGCATGAATACTAGGCTTTTATTCAAAAATAAAACCCGAGGTATGGGGAAAATTGTAATAGGAATTCAGAAACCTGCTTGTGCAGTACTCTGCACTTCATGCCCGCTGTGCTGCTTTCGCGGAGTCGAAGGCTGCGGGGGCTGCTCACTACTGACACAAAGGCGACAACAGAGAGGCCAGCGCCACTCCACAAAGGAACCACTTCCCCACCTGCTCAGGGAATGCAACTGGAAAGCTGACAAAAGCCAGCACCAGCCCGTTCCTCTCTACCTCAGAAGCACTGTGTGTGGCTCCTGGGACCAGCGCTGACTCAAGGAGGGACTCAGTAGAGACAATCTTAGCTCTGGTTTCCTCTACAAGAGGGGACAACGATTCCTTCTCATGGGTTGAATGAAAATAAAACAGATCATGTGACAAGGACAAAGCACGTATGTCAAGGCCATTCTTTCCTCTGCCCTTATTCAGTCCCGTTCATGCTCTAACTCTATAAACACAGCTAAAGAATTTCCATCCCATCACAGCACAGTCCTTTGTCGCTCTCCTCTGAACACCCACTGTCTCCACTGAGCACTCCAGTTATATGAACATACAGACACGTGAAGTCCTGCCTCTGACTGTACTGCTGGGGAGAAACTTTAGAAAGTCCTACAGTTCTGACATCAATATAAGAACACCACGAAATGAAAAGGAACACAGCCTCAACCCTTATGGAATGGAGAGTTTGGCAAGTTTAGCTCAAAAGTGGAATTCAACCACAGCATTGACAATAGCAGCAGCAGCAGCAGCAAATGTCTCTCCAATGAGACTGCGATGTCCTTGAAGGCTGAGATCTTGCTTATTCAACTTAATTTTCTCCCAAAGGCTCTAGCCAGTATGAACTTGAAGGATGCTCAAAGGGTAAACTGAACCAGTATGAAAGGCTTACCCTCTTGAAGGGCTTATGAGGGTGTTAAATTATGACAATATGAAAAACAGAAGTAAAAATTAAGAGATTGGACTACCGCCTAATGAGGCATAATTTTTGTCTTTTTTTATTTAATGGGTTCTTAATTAATTTCTTGACCTAGACATAATCTATCAGGTCTAGCTCTAAAAGTCCATGATGTTGGGCAAGTTACCGCTTCTATTCACGTTTCAGTTTGCTTAGCCACACAAGGATGTGAAATAAGTTTCCTGAAATCCCTTACAGCTCTAAAGTTAGGTGTCCACAATTTCTGCACAAAAGACATTTGCAGCAAATTTGCTAGGAAAAAGGCACCTTGTTGAGCACCATGATGGAAGTGAGAGAAAGACCCAGAGCTGACCTTCACTGAATGCGAGGCTTACAAAACAACAAAAGGCAAGGAGGCAAATAGCTGTGGCTCAAGACAGGAAGGGGTGGTAGTCAGACCAGAGCTACTGATAGGGAACTTCCAGCTCTGGACATGACCTGGCTTTCTGCAGAGGTGGCACACATTCCTGCCTCTGATAAGCAAAGCCAATCCACCCATGAGCCTAGGGCCAGTGCCTCAGCACAAAAACGCAGTACAACTATGGTCAAGACAAACAGTCCTGCTTTAACAACTGATGTTGGGACAGGAGGAAGATGCTGGGTGTCAGGGACTGCAGAGGCACCTGTGCAGCACTGACAGAAGCAGACACGAGTGGGTCCAAGCTCTACCTTCACAGGAACAAGAGTGACAGGATAAAGCGGCAAGGCAGGGCGCAGCTCATACAGGGCCCCTGAAGCCAGGCCATGTTTTATCAATTCTAATCAGACCAATAAGACAACTCAAAGTAACTGACCATATATTAATCTTCACAGGATCACTGTGTATATCCAAAAGCATTTTTTCGGCAACCAAAAGGAAAATGGCTGAAAGGAAATTCCCCCGCAAAAAGTAACAGAAATAAATTTTGCTTATGAGGGAAAAATATCTCACCATTAGATACTGAATGATCCACAATAATCTAATAGGATGTGATAACTGATTTTGGGTATATTTTTATGGTGTTTATAGAAAAAAATTCCACATGGCACATCAGCTGAACATTTATTAAAATTCATAAAGCCATCTAAGCTGAGAATAATACAATATGCAATGACCATGATACAGTAATAAAAATACAATATCAAATACTCACTACTTTGTGAGTTACAAACTATAATATAAACAATTTAGATCCCCTTTTAAAAATGAAAAAATATTTCTATTTCAACCTTATTTCAAGCATTTTCAGTTAAATACAGCTTTATATGTTTTCAATCACAATAGACAATAAAAGAATGACCCGTTAAGTAACTGTAGGGAAAATATATTACTTATTTCAATATTTGCACTCTGAAGTATACTCTGACATACATGAATTCAGATAAGAAAATTAAACTGTGCAGTGGCAATATCCTGGCTGATGATAGACTTGGACAGTTTTATATTTGGTTTAAAACTTTTACATCAGGGAAAAGCAGCAAGGACGTACAGAACCATCATCGCACTTCTTCGGCGAAGCAGGCTGACTCCAGAGAAGGGGTGCCCATTCTCATTTCCGAGCGTGTGGTCCGAAGCTGAATGCTTTCCAGTCCCAGGAGCTGCCTGCGGCTCTGAGGCAGCGCTCACGGATGAAGGGATGGGAGCAAAGTGTGAACTGCACTACGGAGGTGGTCACTGAGGAAACCAGTTCTCAGGGGCGAGGGACACAGAAGGACGGCGCGCTCACTGGACAGCGCACATCGAGCTCCGAGGCCGGTTCACAGTTCTGGAAGCGGGCTCCTGGTTGTAGTTTACAATATCTGCCTTCACCACCCTCTGTCATAAAAGAAAAGGGTTATGATCAGGACATCAGAAAGAACTACTTACGGTATATTTTTATTTTCTGAACTTTGGCGAACTCCTGGTGATAAACGTCAGAATGAAGCAGAAGTTGATATTAAAAGAATCAACCAGAACTAATAAATAGTTGCGTGTTTTTGTTACGTGACTGGCTACTAAGTTACAATTTAAAGCAAAAGAATTAAAAGTAATCATTCATATATATTTTAATTCTAAGATAAGACCACCTCGTGTCAAAGTAAAGATTTTCACTACTTATTAATACTTCCTTAAGCCATTACACTCAGCAGTAACCTTTTTTAGAACGCTTATAGCAGTGAGTTGGTAAGAAGAGGTATGTTCAAGAGGACTCACACATAATGTACAAATATTTTGAACAAATTAATTTTTAAAATTTTTCTAGCTTTTAAAACTTCCTTCCTAAGACCCTAACTTACTTCCAAGGGGCTCACAATTGGTTTATGAATAATGAATCTAAAAAATTATGGTATGATAAGGCATTTAGAAAATTAACCTAATGTTCATGTTTTAAAAATAGTTGAAACAAAGGGCACTTTTGTTTCCCGCCTTCCCTCTAATTCACATTTAGAGGAATATCTAAAGCAATATAATTTAGCAAAATGCCCTAAAATTCATCTCTAAGAAATAATTTAAGTGAAAACACTTCACTGCTTTCAATTCTTTTAAGTCTGCACACACGAGTAAACAAAGAAAGGCAATTCAAGACAAATTTTTTAAATACTCTTTCAATTATCAGGCTATGTCAGGAAAAATGGTAAAGCATGAATAATGAAATAACTGCCCCAATCCACTTCACTGCAAGCATAATGAATACAACTATAAAGACAAATATGTTCGAATGTAACTGAAGTGTTATTTTAATTCGTTCGCTATTTCCTGTTTCACACATAAGGCTCACGGCAAAGGACCAATTTTTCAAAGGTCTAAATCAGAATTTATGCAATATTAATTTATAAACATGTACAACAATCATATGAACTTCTCTATTCATAAGGAATAAAGAACAAGATAGCATTTACTAGCCCTCCACCTCCCCCAATTGCAATAATTTATCTACTAATACCTGCACTACTGTACTGAACAGATTCTACTCTGAGAAGAGCTGGCATGTTGATTATCTTCTTCCAGGTACTTCACTATTTCTGCCCTGACAATATTCTGTAAATTCCGAACAACACAGACAAGATGGAGAAAGAAGAAGAAGAAGAAGAAGAAAAGAGACAAAAAGGAAAATCAAAGACTGAAAATAGAAGCGAACACCAAAGTAGAAAAGGAAATTTAACACATAAATTTAAACATGTCACAAAGGAAACAGAATATATGCATACAACAGGGGAGAACAGGAACAGAGACCCAATAAACATTATTCTTTCTAATTCTATTTAATTACTGAAATACATGGGCAAACTGAACATTCCAGATAAATTATGAGTTCTATCTTTGACAACACAGCCAAAGTACACAAAAACACCAATTCCTTTTCCTTTGAAAGACATTACTGACTGTGTGCCAGTCACTCTATGCTGCAAATGCATGGGTGAGTTACACAGGAGGTGTCCGCAAGTGCCCTGGACCTACTGGGCAAGAAATACACACAATTAATTGACACACAAGGTAAAGAGCTCTTCCAGGAGGCTTATGCTGTAAGAACACAAAGGAAGGAGTAGTTATCTTTGAGACCAGGGAAAGGAATAAAGAAATCAAAGGCAGACATATTTCATTTGCAATTTTTTACAATTAATCCTTTTACTTGTCCAAGATTTCAATTGATGCTCACTCCCCAATCCCTCCCAAACCTAAACTCATGCTTCTCAAATAAACAAGTTCAAAATGTAGCTGTGGGTCACATAAAAAAACCATGAAATATACGTAAGTAAAACAGCTGTCGCCTGCAAATATTTAAGTGCTTTGTTAAACAAAAATTAAAACTGTATTGCCAGATTTTAGTTGCCATAACCTCTAGGATGAAGAGATCACAAAGAGGGCTTGGGATTTGGGTTAGTGGTTCCACTGCCTGCCTCGCAAGCACAAGAGCCTGAGTTCGATAAAAAAAAAGAAAAAAAAAAAAGAAAGATCACAAAGAACAAATTAACAAATACGGATGGCAGCGATAACATCCTCTCCATTTTTTTTAAGATTTAAAACTATCTTTGCTTTTCTATATGATTGTAAATACCTTACTTTTTTAAATCCTGCCTCGATAACACATCCATTTATCAACCTATATAAAAATATCTTCCCAGGGGCTATTGTTCATGAAGACATCAATACTAAATATTAGAAAATGAAGAAGATGGTGGGTTCTGTGTAAGTTCTCTAGTACGAGTGCGAACTTCCGGGCAAAATATCATGATTTACTGGGCCCATGGCCTAAAGCTGCCAACAGAAGCAGCACCGACACCCCAGAGGAGTGAGCGCCCTCAGAGGAACGCTGCGCACCATTATCCGCCTTCCTCAACCCACTGCTTCACACTAAACGACGGATAAAATGAACAGGAGGGGTCTGAATAATCGGTTAGCAACTCATTCATCCAACAAGATGTTGGTTTAAAGCCTGTCTTATAAACACAACCAGGTTATTGACCTGTGTGCTCAAGACATTTTGATCCAAGCACTAACATAAGTGACTTGGATTTTAATCCTTAATTTTTATCAAGTTAAAAATAACACAGCAGCATCTTTTTGAGGGATCTTAACTGTCTGCCATAAAGCTTCGTACAATGTTTCCAAATTCAAAGTGTAACATAGCCTCTTTAGTTTCAAAATTTTGCTTTCTGTGAGAAGAAAAACAAAGGCTTCTATATCATGAACATCATGGTAGGTGTTCTCATGGCAGTTGGCTTGTTTACAAGCTATTTATTGATTATTTCAGAGAAAATATTACCTACAAAACACTCATCTTCATTTGAGCTAGAAAGCATATTCAATTATTTTCTCCTATTGGTCAAAGGAGTAAAAAATAATGAAGCAGCATTAAGAGAAAAGGAGCCGTGTGAGTGATAATCAGCTTCAGTGTGATCTTGTCAAGGACCCTTTGCAAGTAGATGGGGAGGTGGCAAAGATCCAAAGGGAAAGCAAGAGAGCAATATCAGAGGGAGGGTAAGAAGCATAAAGAACCCAGGCAGACTCGGGAAGACACCGCCATCATTCGCCATGTCAAGGAGGTGGAATGAACATGAACGTGCTACAGAGGCTGAATCACCCGTTAGTGTCACTCCTCCAGGATAAGCAACACGTGGTCTGTTTCTGAGATGTATACAGATGTGTAAACTATTAAAGAATATTTTGACTGATATGTATTCTAAGTGTATGAAATTACCATATGCAGCATAGATATAACATGCTAAAAAGTACAGCACAATGTACGTGGTAGGAGCTAAAACAGAAAAGCTGTTCTTCCATGTGATGAGTCATAATATTCTTCCAATAATACGCATAACTTTGGGTGAGTTATTTCAGATCTTTCGTCTTCACAATATTTTAATCTATAATACACAAAGTTTATCCAAATGGTATCTAAAGTTCCATCTGATTTATAAATTTCATTTAAAAACAAATATAAAGGTGAACAGAAGCCAGGCATGGTACAACACACCTATAATCCCAGAATTCTGGGACCCAAGGCAGAAGGATCATAAATTCAAGCCCAGTGTGAGCAACTTAAGTGAGACCTTGTCTCAAAATGGAAAAACAGCCGGGGGCTGTAGCTCTGTGGTAGAGTTCCTGCCTAGCATGTGCCTGGCTCTATATGTAATCTCCAGCATCACCCCCCAAAAAAGAAAAAAAAGCACCTCAGTTCCTCTACCTCCCTGGAGGTCTCTCTGAACCTGGGCATTGCTGTACAGCTCAGTTCTTCCTCAGTGCCACCTGCCCCTGTGAAGCACCAGAAGCCTTCCCTGCTATGGACGGCCCATCAATCCCTGTGGTTCTCTGTCCTCCAGGCAGGAAATCACAGGGTTAAACTGGGTCTCATCTTCCTATCCAATCATTCCACAAACCCTACAGATTTTTCTTTGAAATGTCTTTTATTTCCAGCCATTCTTTCCTTTCTGCCTTGACTTTGGTATTTATCACTTTAGAGCAGTAACCTGGTCTCCTTACCTCTATCTCCTTCCCACCCAACCACACACAAAAATAGATTAATTCAACCTAAAAATTGCTTTCAATTAATTCCCTGCCCAAATATTTCCCATTAAAAATAGGTTAAATAAAATTTATCAACTGGGCATTCATAAATTCCCATAATCTCTTCTCAAACTCCCTTTATACTACAACACAAATGGTCATTTATTTTAATCAAATTGCTCTTGTGTTTCCAAAATACAACCTAAGCTTTTCTATCCAAGTACTTTCATGCCAGCCCCATGTTCAGCTGTTTTCCTCCCTGCACTCCAAACTGGCCAGGTCTCTCATAGGGTAGAATAACACAGTAGCTCTAGTGTAGGGCAGACCTGTGTTCCAATCCTGACTCCCCCCTTTAACAATGGCTTAGTAATCAAATTACATAATCTTTCCAGTCTCAGGGTTGTGACAACACAAAATGACAAAATGCCACCTGCTCCAGAGAGTTGCTATGAGAATTAAATGAAATACCACACATAATACGTTTCTTCACTGGAGGCAGGGACTACATTTTAAACTTCTTTAAGTCTTTTTCAGGACCAACACTATATAACATATAATCAATAAATTACTTATTGTTGCTTCATAATCATTCACGGACTCTCCAACTGACCAGAGACCAATATCGTTTAGAAACAGAAGCTGAATCACAGAGAAATCTGAGGTCGCAGGAGTCTGTGACCACGATAACCATGGCTACTTCTTTCGTGTGTGCTCCTAAAGCCAAAAGCAAGTAACTTCTTTTATAGTAGAAGCTTTTACAAGCATAAAATACCTTACCATTCTGTCTGGTCCTAGAAAATACTGAAATGAATATCTGCATGATGATAATTAAAAGCAGCGAGCTCATAGTGCTCCGAATGACTTAAGCCCCACAGTCACTTCAGTATAACAATTTTGAATTGGTATTTACTCTGATTGCTTTAACACAATAAGCACACATCCGAAGCATGACTATGCAAATCTGACATAAAACTAACTCTAAAAGAATTAAAGAAGGATTTAAAGATGGGAAACAATTATTATGCCTTTTTAACTGCTGGAATAGTAGTGTTGGAAGGAACTGAGGGGAAATGTTAGTTTGTTGCTTCTAATCCAACCATTACTGAAGCTCAACTTTAAACCATAGGCTCTTGCTCTAATTTTGCATTCTATCAAACATGAATTAGTTAAATTATGTCATTTTGAAGTTATGTGATTTTTAATTTAACATTTGGTATTCATGACAAGTTCTCAGTCTAAGACAACAAGTAATAGTGAAAGAGTATAGGAATCTTCAATAATTAATAACACTATTAGATTATAAAAAACACTATTAGATTACCAAAAATTAATAACATTATAGATGGGCATGTTTCTAAGATGAATGGCAAGTCCCAAAAGAACTGAAGTTAAAAAAAAAACAAAAAAACAATGTGGCCAGAAAGTTAACCCACAAATTAACTACAGATAAAATTTTTATCAATTTCCCTCTTTTTCTCAACATAGGGGTCAAAATTGAGTTTCAAGATCATCATACTTTGTTAAAAGTTAGCATTCTCTATCTTCTGAAATAAACAATGATTTATACACACAATCTATTTCCAAGAATTTTCAGGCATATGTGCATGGAATGCATAAATGTGAAAGGACTCATGGGTAAAAGTTAATGGATTATAAGAAATTCATTAATTTTTAAACCATAAAGCTCAAGATAATCACCTGTGACTGTTCTATTTCTGCTTTGTTTAACTTGATTCCAAGGATTTCAGCAGCAACTTTCTGAAAACACAGGAAGACCTACATAACAAAAATAGATTTAAATGATTTAAAACAGGCACACTTGTTACCTTTAAATAAATTGAACCTTTTAAAAATGATAAACATCAAGAATTATAAAAATATGATGTAGCAGGTGATTCCAAAAATAGCTTTGTAAAATATAGAAATATACTGAATGGAATAATTTTAAATGATTAAACCACAATTTGAAAATCCATGTATTTCACTGAATTATTAAAACTTACCTTTATCATTAAAAACAGACATTTTAAAAGATTTACTATGACAAGTACAGCTGCCACTTTAAAAACAAAATAACGACATGTAAGCACTTATTAGCATAACAAACTCCATAATTCCTGAAGAAATTAAAATAAATTAATCTATACTTTACTACTCTAGCTTTTCACTTCTAATTTAATCCTGGTCTTTTGACCTAGCTTCCGTCTATCTTAAAACGTCTTAATTTTCAACACACTAATAATCTTTGTGGCTCTTATCCATTTGAACAAATTCTCCGTATCTTAATTAAAACACCTTGGTACTCCTGACTGTATTTTATCAACGCAGAGTAAAGAAGAATGCATCTCATTGCGGTGCTTTCCACACAGCCTTTTGTGTCTAGTTAGTTTATGCTAGGACCACTATAACTCCTAGAGTTCCAGTGCTGCAGTGTAACTTATTTATGCCTCAAAAATATGCTATCCTATTCCTAGCCCAAATTATCTTTATTAATTTACTTGGATCAAGATATGATATTTGTATGTACCAATTCTCCATGATAATGTAATTACTGTGTACTGCAAACATATACTAATAAATAAGAGAGAAAAAGGAAATACAGCTCTCTGAAAGATTTGTGCTATTTTTACCCCCAAAAGCATACATTTCAGTTCACTGATGTCAGTGTTCAAGAAATAACAGGAAAGCTAACGTGGTAGAACAGAGAGAAAGAAAGATAGTATAAAAGAAGATGAGCAAGAGAAGACAGTACGAAACGTAGCATCGTGTAGGCTACTGGGAGGACTTTGGTATTTATTCTGAGTAAAATGGAAGCCATGGCAGCCTGGCCTGATGGGATTTTTATTTTAATGGGACCAATCCAGTTGTTGTATTCAACATTTACTAAAGAAAAGCAATGAACAAAAGGGAAATCAGTGAGGACACTAGACTGTAGAGGCTGCACCACATTAGCAGCAGTAGAGATGGTAAGAAACAGTCATTGTGCTTTGGATATATTTTCAAAGTATAGCCAAGAGAAGTTAAGAGTTAATGATAGGTAGATGTGGCCTGTGGGAGAAACAGCAGTCAAGGGAGACACCAAAATTGTCTTGACTTGAGCAACTGGTAGAATAGATCTGCCGCTTATTCAAGTGGGAAGACTGTGAGAGATCTGAGAAGATGGGGAGGGAGAGGGAGACAGAAAAACAGTGAGACAGAAGGAAGACCAGGAGGTATGATACCCTAAAAGTTGAATGAAGAAGGTATTTCAAAAATGAGATAATTTTCAACTATTGTATATGCTGATGTAAAGTTACATAAGATTAAGGAGTAATCACTAGATGCATCAAATAAGAGGTCACTAGTAACCTTGGTAATAGGATTTTGGATGAAATACTGCGAGCAAAACTCTGTTGGACCAGTTCGAGACAAACCCGATAGAGGAACTGGCAATAAGTCTTTCAAACATTCTGCTGGAAAGTGAGGAGAGAAATAAGGAAACAGGTACAGAAAGATGTGGAATCAAGAATTCTCTTGCTTTTAAGATAAGGAAAATCACAATATTTTATATGCTGATAGAATTAACTAGTAGGCAAAAATAACATGATGGTGTATGAAAAAGAACTGCTAAAGCAATTCGTCACAGAGAAATGGGAGTGGCACACTGCCATGGGAGTCTGCCCCAGGTAGGAGCAGAGTCCCTCACAGTGAGCACAGCGAAGTCAGAAGACAGGAACAGATGTGGCAGGGAAAGGGGAGGGATATTTGGGTAGATATGTGGTAGGACTGTGTGGACACTGTCTTCTATTTGTTTCAAATTTCTTACAAAATAAGAAACAAGGTCATCAGCTAAGAAAACAGAGAATGTTCTGAACATTTGGAGAAGAGAAGCTATACAATGGTCCTGTAGGTAAGATGGTAGGATGATAAGAGTAGGGACACACAGTATAATTACCGAGCAGTATTAAGGACCCACTTGAGGTTAGTGACCGTGAATTTAATGTGAAACCTCTAGCATGTCTCTTTGTTGTTTCTGTGGTCACGTCCAAGTGTGCAGCCACAGAAAAGTGAGGGCTTGATTTAAAGCAGAATTAAGATGTGGCCAAATGAGTTTGACAAAGATAAAGAGGAGAAAGAAAACTGAGACTATATATATGGCAATGATTTTGATTGGCCGTAAACTTTAAGTTAAGAATGGAAAAATAAGGCCATAAAAGAAGGTTAAAGATTTCATAAAGATATTAGGATCTATGTCTAGTAGGTCCTGCTAGCGTTGAGGAACGACTGGGTTAGGACCCTTACGGTGTGAGCAGGGAAGACAGAACGGCTGGTCCTCATGATTAGGATGTCTGACCCTGAGGCTACACGGGGCTATGGTGAATTGTAATGACACTCACAGGAAGGAGTGGCAGGGGAAGTGGAGGACAAAAAAATACACCGAAATCACTAACAATCAGGTCAGCAGTAGTACAGAAACACAGTAAGCCAGGAATTTAATTTTTCAAGTAATGAAGGAAAGTAGCCTGGACCCGGAGATGACTGCGAGAACAAACCATTTCCAGCAGTATCCATGAAGAAAACAATCACTTTTTAATGGTGGCTCAACATAAGTACACAAAGAACACTAAGCTAACCACAAGCTCAAATATGAGAGGTTAAAATAATCCCAAGGTGAAAAAAGAGAAAGAGAGGTGGGAGAAGAGAAAGAGAGGGGAAAAAAGGGGGGGAAAGAAAGGGAAGGCAGGCAGGCCAGCGGCTGGGAGGGGGTCATCTAATACTGGTGACTGCATAAATTAATTTAGCCTTGCTGGTGGTAAAATGGCAAGGAATCTATTTAAAGAAAATAAGCAAAGTATCAAGAGCTTATGAACAAAATTTTACATTAGAACATTACATACAGAACTCAGAAACAACACTCAGTAACAACCTAGAAATATGTCCCACAATAAAGGACATGGTCAAATATATTTTGAAAAATTACTTAATGGACTATTAAATCTAGAGATAACCTTAAATAATATGAACAATTTTCTACAGATGAAAATGCTGAATAAAAAAGGAAAATACAAAATCACTTTAATATTACGGTCTTCCATTTTTGAGCAAATATTTATAGTGGTTAAGACAGTGAGCCCTTGCGTGTCATCACTGGATTTACAAATCCTAGCTCCATCGCTTATGAGCTGTATGACTTGGGCACTGCTACATAACCTCTCTTTAAGACTCACTATGAAATAGAGATGATCAGAGCAGAACAGCACAGGTCTCAGGTAAGCACTCAATCACTGTAATCTGCCAGAAGCAGTACTTGAGGGCATCAGATAAAGAAGACTCAAAAGAACTGTATGAGGTTCTCCATGGTCATCTCTAGATGCTGGGATGAGGGATGATTTATATGCTTTTAATTTTCTGCATTTTTAGATTCCTTAAAATAATGCAATTATGCTAAATTAATTATAAAAGTAATATAACTAGAATAAATATATCTCATCTACGGTTTTTCATATCTTAATAGAAATTAATTCGCTCCAAACGTTAAACATATTTCCTAGGAAGAACCCATGTCCAATACATTTTCTCCTGCCCAGTCTACTTTTTCACATGTGGTCCTTTATTGACGTTTCTCATTTTACAACACTACAGACCCTATGTTACGTTCGTAAATAAAAGAAAACATCGCTTATAATATGCGGTCTGCATTAGTTTACTTACAGAGTCTCCTGTCTTGGCTGAGACAAAGTGGCTACTAAAACCATTTTCCTGGCAAAATCGTAAGTGCTTCTCAGGTTTCACTGTTCGCATATGCTCCAAATCAACTAGAAAAGTGTTAAGGAGAGAACAAAATTCAATATTGGCGTCAATTAAAACACTTTCAACATGTTTCCAACATCATACCCTAGCTTAGACACTACCTGTATAGTGTTGGGGAACTGATTCAATTTCTTTATGCCTCAATTTCTACACTTATAAACTGGGAGAAATAAATATATCTCCTTAACATGGAGTTCCCTCAAAATTAGGTCATGCATAGGACACAATAACTAGTAGATCATTGCTCAAAACGTGAGCTATCATAGTCCAAATCGTATAAAATTTAGGCACACTGATGATGTTCAAAGATACCTACTCAGTGTAAGGCCTTTAAATACACAGACTAACTGAAGGTAAACTATTCTTATCCAAACATATTTGGTTTGAAACAGTTTAATTACTTGAATAATTAGGGCTTTTGGTAATCTTTATAACTTTACTATTAACACAAATACATAATATTCTGCTAAAATCAGTATTATATTGCACATTGACATTAATTTATTTATAGCCACAGCTTAATTTTATGAAGATACAGCTGAGCTTTCTTTCAAAATCTAAAGTATACATTTCAAGAATTATGGACAAGGATACATTTGCTTGAAGAGCTGTAGGTATCTTAAAGCACAGAACAGAACTTATGTCGAATACATATTTTCTCTTGCCCAGTCTATTTTTTTCAAATGTGATTCTTTATTGAGCAGTTTCTCTTTTCACCACACTACAGAGCCTACAAGGGTGTTGACTCAATGCTGTCAAATTATAAGGCAAATATAGTCATAGGATTTAAGGACAATTAGGCTCTTTGAGTCAATAGAGGAAAAAAAACTTAAATTGATTTTCTGAGGAAGGGACCCAACTGACTTGTAAAATCTTATAAATTTGCAAATCTAGTAAGCCTACATAACAGTAGCAATTGATTATCAACTAAAAAAAATGCTCTCATACTTCATAAAAGGCTTCATTTAAAATTATATTGAAAGTTTTCAATCTGTAGGCTCAAGAGATTTTTCTCTAGATTTCTGATCTAGTGGGGGATTCCTGACCCCATTTATGTTGCTTACCTTGGAAAACTGGGAGTTTTGTTTGTTTGGTTGGTTTTTTTCTCTTTCTTTACTGGCCACAAGGTGCTGTTCTTTAATTACTAAGACCTTATTTACAAGAACAGGGCAAAAAATGTCTCAATGCCACAAGCATCAATTTGTGGAAGACTAAAATACTAAGGTATTAGCACTGACATTTATATATCTAGTTCATCCTAATATTGAAACTAAAATACTTTCCTAATTCAGAAAGAACAGGAACAATCATGTCACTATGAAAAATCCCCAATGAAATGTCTATCCAATTTAAAAACAAATGAAGTTGTATCATTTGACATTGGTTTGCATTTATCTTTTATAATGGAAGAGTCTAAAACTTATTCTAAATAGCCAAGGTTCTCACAAATGAAATAGCAGGTACGTTTTTTTGAAGTCCTCAGAGAATTTCACTAGTTTTTTTTTTTCTCTACTGTGTTAGAAATCAGCAAGGAACATTTAAGAGGGCTCAGTTACTAGACAGTATGGTCTGAATGTGTCCCCCAAAATTCATCTGAGTCACTGTACACTGGAACTCTGCCCGCGGGTATGACAGCATCAAGAAGCAGGGTCTTTGGGAGGTAACTAGGTCATGAGAGCTGAGCCTTCAAGGAGAAGATCAGAATCCTCGAGAGGACGGGCATGTACTCTTCTGCCACTTGAGGGGTGTCCATCCATCCCTCTTGCTTTTCCCCTCCGCTGCCATGTGAGGATACAGCACTCACAACGCAATCTTGGAAGCAAACAAGGGATCCTAACCAGACACTAGTCCTGACAGTGCCTCGATCTTAAATGCCTCAGCCTCCAGAACTGTGAGAGAGAAATTTTTGCTGTTTATGACTTATTCATTTTCAGGTATTTTGCTATGGCAGCACTAACCAACTAAACACTGGAGTAATTCATTCTAAAGAAAACAGAGATGTAAATGAAATTATAATGAGACTTTTACTCTAGTAAAAACCTTTCTTCTATTTTTAAGAGCATTCTTAAAATTATCTAGCACCCCTCTACCATACATGTGATAACACACTTACTATTATAATTATTTAATTTCTACATGTCCTTGAGCTACTTGCACCATTTTCTCAGGTCTTCCATTTTATTTTTAAAAACAGAATTAAAGTTTCTCAAAATATGAAAGACCCTCATAAAGACAAAGACACAAGAGGGAGAAATCTTGGGATTCTTTTTCTGGGAATATAAAACATAATGTACAAATAAACTGCCTCAAAAGTACGCAAAGACTTATATGTCTTCCAAGTCATCATAAAAATGAACATCAAAACCACAAAGAGATAAGGAATGGATACCATTGTGAAACAAACATGTGACAATAGCCAGAGGATGGATACTGAAACACTGGGCACTTCAGGAGGATGGTAAAATGTTACAACTTCTCTGAGAAAACAGTATGGATGAGCCTCAGAAATCTGGAACAGAACTCCCATATGATCCAGCAATCTCATTTCTTTTTTTTTTTTTTTTTTTTTTTTTTGTCTTTCATGGTTTATTTTTTTTAATTGAATTTATTGGTACATTCTAGGTAGACAGTACAGTTACATTCATTACTGGGATCTTGTACCTTTACATGCCAGGTCTAGGTTCTCATTTTTTCCCCTTGTCCCCGCCCTCCCTTCACCCTCCCCTCCCCCCCTTCAAACACTTTAATTCCATTTTTACATTTTCTCATATTTTTTCCTTTTCCTTTATTCCCCCTTCCCTATCCTCCTCACTGTCCCTACACCTTTGGTCCTTTTCTTCCTATTTGCTAAGTGTCCCATTAGGATCTTGATAAGTATATATCCCAAAGAACTAAAAGCTGGGTCTCAAAGAGACAGCTCTAGACACAACAGCCAAGATAGAGAAGAAACTCACATGTGCATCGATGGATGAGTAAACAAAACGTGGTATATACATAAAATGAAATATTATTCAGTCTCAAACAAGAAATCCTGTTACATGCTATAAAATGAATGAATCTTAAGGATATTACACTGTATGAAAAAGCCAACCATCAAAAGACAATAACTGCATGACCGCAGTTACAGCAGGTAACTAAAGCAATCAAATGTATAGAAATAGAAAATAAAGTGGTGATTACCAAGGGTGTGGGAAAAGATAAATGGGAAGTAGTTTAATTGATACAAAGCTTGAGATATGCATTAGACAGTTCTACAAGTCTATTTTAAAATAATGGGAATATATTGCCAATTGAGCTATACACTTAAAATGGCTAGATGGTAATCTTTGTTTTATGTTCTGTATTGCATAATAAAGCAAACAAAAAAATAGCTACCCCAATCCAGAATTTCTAATTACCAGCCGCTCTAAAATACCTTAATGGAAAAATAAATATACTGATGCTTCATATACCCCTCACTCAGCCTCAGTAACAGTAAAGTCTAACCAATATTATTTCATCCATGTTCGACTCCCAGATTATTTTAAAGCAAATTTAATGGTCAAATTTAACATATCACTTCATCCAAAAATACACTGGTACTATGTATTCTGAATTGTTTTTTCTTTTATTGAGGTTCACAGCTTTGATTAGAAGCAACAAACACATTTTGAACCTGAAGTTGTCACTTTCATTTTTCATTTAACCTCGCACACTCCACTGGATCATGAAGTCCTACATTCATGTGAAATTTCAATGTGTTTAGAGTAAAATTGCTTATCTTCAGGATACAGACAGATTCTGATAAGTAACAAAGTAAATGGTGTTTCATAAATGGTAAACAATTCAGATTAAACACTACCTTCTATCAAATATCGTCACAAAGCATCATTGTAACAAAAATTTTAATATCCCAAAAGATTATCTTTATTTCTTATACTCAGATCCAGAGATGGTGGAGTATATACAAGAATTAGTCCCATAAAAGAAAAAAGTTTCCTCAGCTTTTCAATTGTTTGTATTATGGCAAATATAGAAGAAACCTGGGTTGGATATAGCCAGGCTTCTTCAGGTATTCACTGTTCATCTGGGGAGGAAGAGGCACGGTGGTGAAGAACATATTCCCAAGAGGCACATGGGCTCCCCATCGTCCAGGTCCAAACCAGCAACTCTTATCTCATTTTATTAATAATAATGTGTTATATTCTTGAGAATTACTAAGAAAGTAAATTTTAAAGTGTTCTCACTGCAAGAAAATGTCTGTGATGCAACGTACGCGTTAATCAGCTCAATTTAGTCATTCCACAATCTATACAGCTGTATGTGTATATATACAGAATAATTTATATAATTATATAGATACTAGTTTATATGTAATTTTATCAATCAAAATAATTAAAAATAGAGACTAAAAAAATGCACTCTCAATAGCTTAACTGCCTACATTTGATTCCTGCTGGTACCATCCATGGGACCTTGGGTAAATCACTTCAGCTTTTTTTTTCCAGTTTTCTCATGTGCTAAAATGGGAGCAGTAATAGACCTATCTCATAAGGCTATTGTACTAGATCAAAATGAGTAGAAATGCATGAAGCAAAGACAGCAACACCTGGCACGTGGGAAGGTGCATGCTATGTGACAGGCACACAAGCAGCATTAGCTGGTGTTATCACAGTGTTCACTTATCCACTATCACCAGCCATCTTTTACGGGTTACATTCTGGGAAGGCTACAAGGAGCACACGTTACAAGGCCTGTACAGTGAAATGCTGAAACCAACAGAGGATCTCAGTCCCTGTGCCAGTTAATCCTCATTGTCAACGTGAGTGGATTATGAGTTCTGGAGAAGGGGCTGCATCATGGAGGTGATCTGCTCATCTGTGTTCATCCCTGAACGTGCAGTTAGGAGGTGAGGCCCAGTTGGTAGAGGTGCGTTGCTCGGAGCCTGCCTGCAGAGGTGTATCTCCCGCTGCTTCTCTCCTCCTGGGCCCTGCTACCCTGTCACCATGAAGTGAGAAGCACTGTT